AAATACTTTCAGTTTATTTTATGGTGCCCGGGCTCCCCAGCATTTAGACCGCTGTGTGCTGCTTTTAAATGTGAATTTTACGGGTTTCACCTGCTTCTTTTCACTCGGTTACCTGGTACCTGTTGTTGGCCATAACTGAGATTGCTTTTACATTTTGATGTCTGGAGTTGCCACCTTTAATGTGCTGCCCGCAAAAGTGCGCTACAAAAACTGGAAAGCCATTCAACAACAGTGAAGGCTAGTGTAAATCTAACTTTTCTGGGCTTTCTTGTGTGTAACTCAAAACAATATTTACCGAAGTGGTTACAGTCCTTAGACTATAAAAGTTGCATTTATATAAATATTGTAAACAATTATGGCAACAATACTTCGTTAAATTTTACTTTTGCGAGATAGAAATAATTAACTTAAAACGAAAAATTTATTTACAGAACATACAAGACTTAAAAAAAATCAATTACTACCTTTAATAAGTACAGTTGCTATGCTTGTAAGAATCGTTAAAATTTAATTCATTAACTCGAACATTTTATAAATCTCTATCCGCTTTACGATGAACTGATAACATTTCTAAAATTAATTGGATGAGTTATAATAGGATCATGTTCATAATACCAATATTTATGTGTGGATTTGATGGCCTGAAGCCTTCTGGATTTTGTATCTGTATTAATTAATTCATGAATCTCTGTTAAACCGTAAAACCAATACCAGCCAATGCAACAGTTGGATGAACTGCTCAATTTCTTACTCGATAATGAGTTGATGTCTGATAGCAAAAACAAGCAGCCGCAAAGGACCCGGCATTCAACGGCAGGAAGGTTGCAAGGCTGACTGAAGACAAACCACAATCGTCTGAGGTCTGAGGGTGGATCAGGAGGGTCCTGGGACTTGGATGCCAGTGGGCCAGACCCACCAGGACATTAATGTGCAGCTGCGCCACTTGCAACTGCCACCGTGGGCTGTAAATTTGCCGGCATTGTCGTCGACGCTCACAAATTGCCACCAGGAGCTCCATGTGTGCATGTAAATTAGCTTATTTAAAGTCGATGGCGGCGGGAGTGTCCTTGGGGCGTCTATTGATTGCTGTTTAGTTTAGTGTGCCAATATCGACGCGTTGGCACATGTGTGGCAAGTGTGAAATGTGTGGTAAATGCAGTTAGTTAAGATTCTGTTAGCGCCATTTGAGAAGGACGTCCTTCGTCTCCAGCCATCAGTAATTAGCATAAAAAATAGAACATTATTAGTCAATCAGTCTGATCATCGATAAAATGTAGAGGTTCATTATTCTCGATTTTATTGTAGAGGGTTTTGTTCGCGTCCATTGTACATACCATTAAATGGTTGATAAATCACATTCCAACACATGCCAGGGCAAGGACAAAAAGGCACAAAGTCATGTAGGACTATAAATTTAAGGACTGAATGTAGCTTGTTCCAACCCTTAAATACTCTATAGTGAACTTGAAAAAATCCTTGGAAGCAGCGCGAATTCAAATGGACTATGCAAAACTGGCTTATAACAGATAGAAATCTAAGTAATTATATGACAAGCAAGACTAGCGCTTGTAGTATTTTTATTTTTTTAAAAAAAGGCATTTTGCTGAATAAATAAAAATGTTCAACCAAAATCTAAATGAACAACCAAAATCTAATGTACAATAGTTAGTAGTAATGTACCTGAAATATCCTATCGTTAATGTGTTCAACACGTAATACAAAAGACCGCAAATGTAGTACACAATGCATTTGCTAATGCAAACAAGAAAATTCCGCGATGGGATCTGTTTAGTTTAGTTATTTGTGGACTGAAACTGAAACTGGAATGGCTACTCCATTAGAGCTAATCTCCGGTGTGCGTCGATTGTTTGCTTTTGGTGGCGCAGAAAAGTGTTCAGCGCCGGCTGTCCTGATTGTTTTCGGTCGGTGGCTTTGTGGTCTTTGGCTGACTGGTGTGAAAACAACCACAAAATGGCCATAAAACATTACCCAGCAATAATAATAACGAAATCAACCAGAGCTGAGCAAACTAAGCTCATAAAACAAACACAAACACCTCCCGCGAGGGATGCGACAACTCGACTGTTTGTGGGGGACTGCAAATTTACCTTCTGGCATTATGGTCACGAGGGCAAACACTCGACAAAATTACAAATATCCGTTCAATATACAAGGAAACCATGTTTTTTGAGAAGTTTTCCTTACTTTCAATAAAAAATATAAAAGAAATTGCCTTGGATATCCAATTTTTTAGGTGGTAGACAACCTCTATCGTCAGTTTAATCTTAAATCATCATTTTTTAAAACCGATAATGTTGGTATGATATAAATAGACTCTCACTTTTAATGAATTTGGTCTAATTTGTTGTATTAAAATCTTACTAATGTTAAGTCAGGATCTTCGGTTTAGAATAACAGACAAATAATTCTTTAAACTAATTTTAATTTTTAATTTTTCCCTGTGCACAAGACACTAAGCTTGAACAAGTCACAAACTTTTGGCCAAATTTGTGTCTTAGCTAAGAAAGGGTGGCTCCACCACAGTCCTAAGTCAACAATCCCCCCAATTAAAGCCGTGATTTGTGCGTTGTTATGACCACCTGCGCGAAATCTCTTAATGCAGCAGAAGTGCATCTCCGAATCCCTGCAGGATGCCACATGGCGCCCATTAGAGTATGCTAATGAGTTGGCCGCGAGGCAAACTCCCGTTTGTCATCAAAGTTGCAGGCAACTCGTTTGCGTGCGAGTACCATTTAATTTTGGCACACAATGTGCGCTAATTGAAACCCTCTCAGGTGGCTCCAGGTAGTACCACATTTTCATCTCCAGTTCATCTGGTTTCGGTGTGCCTTTTGTTGCCTGCCATTAAAGGCGAATTGCTGTCGGATGGTTGCATAAATTGAAAGGGGCTGTCTGTGCCATTGCTTCTGCTGCTGCTGCTACTGCTCGATTCATAGAAAATTACGTATACGCATTCGCACATGTCGTCGCTGTGGGAAAACTGCCTCACATCTGCTGGATGTGGGTGGTGGTTGTCTGTATACTCCTAAATTTATTGCTGCTGTTGTTGCTTCCATTGTCGTTATGGCAGCATTTGTTGCGCTACTTTCAGTCTTCCAATTTGTCGTCGGCCAACTTTGGCCCGACGTATTTACTTTGCTGGCAGCCTTTGTCTAGGCTTTTGGGCCAGGAAACTCGTTTAAAAAAGGATTTCGGCCCAAATGCTGGTTTAGATTTGGCCTTCAATTTCTAATTTGAGCCCAAATTTGAATAAAATGAACCAACGTCCATCTTACTTAGGCTAAACCGCCCGCTGCCATCATTTTTCAGACAGATAAATTTAAAATTGGAACATGAACAGGCAATAAATTTGGCCCTCTTACTATGCGCTTTTGTATTACAAATTTAGTAACATGAAATGCATTCGACTACTTAATATACAAAGGTGTCCTTTTATTGGACTTCTAGAGCACTTAACTTTACCAAATGGAATCCGATTTTAAAGTGGCATACCTCTTGAGAATTGTATTTTAATTCTCTAAAAATCTGCATTCAAATTTTTATACCCTTGCAGAGGGTATTATAATTTTGGTCAAAAGTGTGCAACGCAGTGAAGGAGACATCTCCGACCCTATAAAGTATATATATTCTTGATCAGGATCACCTCCTGAGTTGATATAGCCATGTCCGTCTGTCCGTCTGTCCGTCTGTCTGTCCGTCTGTCCGTCTGTCCGTCTGTCTGTTTCTACGCAAACTAGTCTCTCAGTTTTAAAGCTATCGGATTGAAACTTTGCACACACCCTTCTTTCCTTTGCACGCAGTATATAAGTCGGAACGGCCGGGATCGGCCGACTATATCCTATAGCTGCCATATAACTGATTGATCGGAAATGCCATAACTTTGGTGTTTGTAAAGTTAGGAAGTTGGGATTTTCTATGGGTTTTATATTTAGCCAATCAATCCGACCTACCAAATTTCATAAGGATCGGCCGACTATATCCTATAGCTGCCATATAACTGATTGATCGGAAATGCCATAACTTTGGTGTTTGTAAAGTTAGAAAGTTGGGATTTTCTATGGGTTTTATATATGGCCAATCAATCCGACCTACCAAATTTCATAAGGATCGGCCGACTATATCCTATAGCTGCCATATAACTGAACGATTGGAAATGCCATAACTTTGTTGTTAAAGTTAGGAAGTTCGGATTTTTTATGAGTATTAAGAATGCATCATATGAATAATTTTGGAGAATATAATTTATAGAGTATTCTGCAAGGGTATATCAACTTCGGCTCCGCCCGAAGTTAGCTTTCCTTTCTTGTTCATTTTAGCGTTGGTCAAAATTTTGACCCATTTTCATGTTAGTTATTACTTAGTTTTCGATGACTTGAAAAAAGGGGTCCCAAAATTGGACTTCCAGATTCCGTAACATTCCCAAATTTAATCCGATTTCAAAGTGGCATACCTCTTAAGACTTGTATTTTAATTCTCTAAAAACCTGTATTCAATTTTTTTATTTTAACGTTGGTCAAAATTATGACCCATTTTCATGTTAGTTATTGCTTAGTTTTCGATGACTTGAAAAAAGGGGTCCCAAAATTGGACTTCCAGATTCCATAACTTTACCAAATTGAATCCGATTTCAAAGTGGCATACCTCTTAAGAATTGCATTTTAATTTTCTAAAAAACTGCATTCAAACTTTTCATTTTAGCGTTGGTCGAAATTTTGGCCCATTTTCATGTTAGTTATAGCTTAGTTTTCGATGACTTGAAAAAAGGGGTCCCAAAATTGGACTTCCAGATTCCATAACTTTACCAAATTTAATCCGATTTTAAAGTGACATACCTCGTGAGAATTGTATTTTAATTCCCTAAAAATCTGCATTAAAATTTGTCATTTTAACGTTGGTCAAAATTATGACCCATTTTCATGTTACAATTCAGCATTCTTCGACTGAATTGCCATTCCTGATTTTTTTAACATACACATTTAGCTTTTTTTTATGCCAACATGTTTCGCAAGCTACTACCAAACAATTTGCGTTCTCTGGGGGAACAACAGCTTCGTTTGGTCCAAACTGTATCTAAGGAAGCTGAAAAGCAGCCGAAAAAGTCCAAAAAACTGGATCCACCGAAAGGGTATAAGCCCAATTGTAAGACCAAATTTGGACCACTGGATGACTGCGATCGGATCTTTCAGAATCTTTATGGACGCCACGATTGGCGATTGCAGGGAGCCTGTGAGCGGGGTGATTGGCATCGCACTGGGGATCTCCTGGAGCAAGGTCCTGAATGGATAATGGAGCAGGTGAGCAAGAGTGGTCTGCGCGGACGTGGAGGAGCTGGATTCTATGCCGGACGCAAATGGGATTTCCTGCGAAAGGCGAAGTCGGAAAAGGTGCCCAAGGTGGTTATTGTGAACTGCGCAGAAGGAGAGCCGGGAACCTGCAAGGATCGGGAAATCCTGCGCCACGAGCCACACAAACTGATCGAGGGCATGCTCCTGGTGGGCGTGGCCATGGGATGCGGGCGGGCCATTGTATACGTTCGGAATCGATTCTACAATGAGGCTTGTAACCTGCACTTTGCCCTGGAGGAGGCCTATCACCACGGTTTGGTGGGGGAAAGTGCCTGTGGCTCGGGCATAAAGTTCGATGTGATGGTCCAGCGGGGAGATCGGTACTTGTGTGGCGAAGAAACCGCCATGATCAACTGCTTGATGGGTAAATTGGGGCGACCTCGTCGTCGTCCGCCCTATCTCACCGAGAAGGGTTACTTCGGGCATCCCTGCTTGGTGATCAATGCCGAGTCCATTGCCGTGGTGCCTTCGATCCTGCGAAGAGGCTCCGAATGGTGGGCAGGATTGGGTAGCAGTTACAATACTGGAACCAAACTGTATTGTCTAAGCGGTCAGGTTAATAATCCTTGCACTGTGGAGGAGGAAATGTCCATTCCCCTCAAGGATCTCATTGAACGACATGCCGGTGGAGTAAAGGGCGGTTGGGATAACCTTGCGGCTGTCTTTCCAGGTGGTCTGTCCACACCCTTGTTGGATCCTCCAACTGCTGCCGAGGTTCTCATGGATTTCGATTGCCTGGTGGCGGCGGGCAGTGGTCTCGGATGTGGAGCCGTCATTGTAATGTCCAAGGACAGTGATCCTCTGGCGGTGATGCTGCGTTCCATTCAATTCTTCGAGAAACACACCTGCAAGCAATGCACTTATTGCCGTGATGGTGCCATTTGGCTTCCGGAGATATTTGCCCGATTCGTCAAGGGACAGACACATCCGCACGAGATCGATTGGACTTTGGCCATAGCCGATAAGATCAGGAATAGCAAACCAATTTGCGGTTTGGCTTATAGCCAAGTTAGCGTGGCCGAGAGTCTAGTGCGATTGTTTGGCCCTCAAATAGAGGAACGCATCCTTAAATACGCAAAGGGATCTTGAAATAAGCCCACTTAAATTTACAAAATTTGTATTCATTATTAATAAGAAATATTTAACATAGAATCAAATAATTAATACAACGAATACTCAGCAATTTGCTTTGAAAAATCACAAAAATATATATTTATGTCTGTCGAACTGAACTGTATTATTAAATAGCAAGCATTTGGCATCATAAATTATATTTTTCGGCTGCTCCCAGATAATATAAGTCGATTTCTTTAATGGTCAAATTGATGAGATCTCGAGACAGAAAACTTATACACAATAATTGTTTATTATTAGCTTAATTTTTTTATGACCAACAAGATTTACGCTCACATAATAACTTGTACTGGGCCATTTTAGCGTCACACTTTTGCAAATTAATTGGAAAACTTGATAATTTATTTGCTGTTCAGTTTTTTTGTTTAATTTTTCTAGGCATTTGGATACAACTTTTCTTGAAGTTAATTATAATAAAACTTTATTGGTCTGCGGGAAAATTCAGCTGACCCATGAAATGTAAGCAGCATGACTACTAAAACGTATGGTTTAACGATAGAGATTTAATTAAGATGAATGGCTGCAAAAAAGAGCTTAGGCTAATGCGGTCAAAGAGAAATAAATCTCCGGCTACTTTCACTGACCACCACAATCCAGAGCAGCCAGTGGAAAAGTGTTTCGCCTGGGGGCTCGCAAATCAATGATGGCACACGGCGAATAATGACAGTTTAAACGACTATTCAATCCTGTGAGCTGTGGTCGTCGCTGCTCGTTAGTTAGCTGGTTGCTCTTGGATTTCAGTTTGCGGCTGATGAGAGCCATTATGTTGGCGTTGTCCTGGCAAAAAAATACAAAAAAAAACCAAACCAGGGAAATGGGGAAAAATCGTAGAGGATGAAAAGCATGTGATAGTGTGTGGTGGAGGTGGGTCAAAGTGGCAGAGGACACAATGTTGACATAAACAAACACCAGGGCATTTGTCTGCGCTTGAATGATTGCAGAGACAAGAGCAGCAAACACGAAAAGATTTACCCCCAACACGAGGCCGTGTCCTTGTGCCCCTTAATCGTGTTTGTGGGTCAGTTTACCCTTGCCATTATCCTTTCTCCGGCGGCTGCTTGCATTGCCAATAATCAGGACTCGCCAGACACACTGCTGCTGTTGCTGCTGCTGCTCTTGGCCCCGCTAATTTGTTTGGCTCTCGGACAGCGACGGAGAAAGTGCCATCCGTATTTACGGGCCAGCGAAAGTGTTATTTTTTTCTGTTTGAGTTGGCACATGCTGTGGCCAGGATTCATTTCTCATCGCCGGAGGCAGCAGCCTGCGTCAGTCTTATCTCAATTAGGAACCCATTCATCCAGGCGGGCGAGCACTCCTGACACTTGACAACAGTGTCCGCAGAGGTGCCTCCGGCCAGAATTGGCAATGACTGATGGCCATACAATTAACAGTTAAGGCCAGCATGGGGTTACACTTTTAAAAAAATGTACAACAGATTACTTGCAGTTTTCAGAACTATGCAGGAATAAATGTACAATTTCTTATAACTCGTTTCACTTCGTTTATAATATTTCATTGATATTATACAAACTGAAACCCTTTTAATCCTATTTAAATTGAAATGCGAAAATTATTTTTACTTGGTACCTATCATCAACACGTTCACAAAAAAATGTATATAAATGTATTCAATATTAAAAATTAATCAACAATGAGTTCCAATGTGTAGGAGTCGCTTAAATTTTTTGTAATCAATAAAAAATGCTCTTTTAAGCTGTTTGGTTAAATCAATTAGTCAATAAAGGATTAAATTCAAGGATTAAATATCCATTATTGGCTACACTCATAAGAGGATTAAGTCCACCAATTTACCTAGGTAAATTGATCGAATGACTGAAAAAAAATATATTTTAATTACAATTCTTGGTTTCAAATTCGCTGAATACCGATTTTTTTCATTTTTCGGAGAAAAACACATGTGTTTCTTTTCTTAGAAAACGTTGAATAGAAAGCTAAGAGGATTAGAATCACGTTTTAATAAAACAAATGACGAGGACAACAGAGAATAATGTGGAATGTGGGGTGAGGCCACTGTGCACATGCCGGGGCACATGGCTCCGGTTCTGTTTCTGGTTCTGGTTCTGGTTCAGCCGGAGGCAGGTCCTTTCATCCTTGTCTCCTTTCCGTCGCAATCATTCGCGCGGCAGTGGTGGAAAATCTTTAAACAGTGACGCAAATGCGGGCTGGCGTATAAATTTCACACCCATCGCCCTCGTCGTTCTTGGCAGACTGATTGTGGCACTCAAGAACACTCCTCAAGTGGTGGTCCTCAAGACTCACTGCAAATTAAGAATGAAAACCACTGGAAACTTGGCCACCAAGTTTGTTGCGAGTAGTTGCGGTACTTAATCCGCGATTGATAGGCCTTAGCTTCACATTGCCACCGAGTGGTACATACTCTTTCTTTTTTTATCATCAAACAACAGGTATAAGTTAAAGCACCTTAAATAATTCGAAACGAACATGCACACATTGCCTGCCAGGCAATTGCTTATTAATGTCCAATTATAAGTTTGAGCAATCATTAGGGGGAAGGTTCAAGGACTTGGATAAAATGTCTTTTGTTCATGCATAAATTTAATGGCGCGTTATCTCAATTTTGTGCCTTACTGACTGCACAAAAGTTAATCACATGTGGGTGGAAATCGTATTTAGATATTGATTTTGTCGTCTACTAGCTTTTTTTTTCTTCCCTTCGCCGGAGTGCTTGCTGCACACATCCTGGGCTGTGAATCGCACCCATCCACCGTTCCAGTGGATTATAATGCTCCAGCATAATCTCGAATGAAAGCGAATGTCTTGAATTCCGCAAATTAAGAGCACCCAGGCGCAGGACTTTTTTCTTGGGCCTTACTTTACTTTTGCTTTTCGCCGCCTTTCTCGCTTTTCTGGCTTTTCGCCTTTCGTTTTTTGTTTCTCGGTCTGCCAGCTCGTGCTCGTGTTATGGCACTTGATTCATGCTTAGCTGGAATTCTTGGCATAACTTTTGCTGTTCCCAGCGCTTATTTTATTTCACTTTCTGGCCCCTCCCCTCCCATCCCGGACCGCCCACTCACGTCCTGTCCAGAACTTTGGCTGCTGCTCTGGCCAGCTCGCATTACTGTAATGAAGAACAGCTCAGCGCCCGTCCTGTCACTTGAGACGGATACGGATTTGGCGACGGAGTCGGAGTCTGAGTCTGAGTCTGAGTCTGAGTCGGAGTCCGCCGGGCCATGTGCCACATGCCCACGCACTGCTGTCGCCACAATAAAGAGGTCATGTCGAGTTATTCAACAGCCGAAAAAAGGGTTTCCCTTACCAACTCGAAGGGTTACAACTCCTCTAAGAATACAAAATTTGACATTTTAAACATGGAAAAAACATTATGGGGTTTTTGAAAACTTTGTATAATTTCCTAAACTTTGTTCTTTGATTGAGGATAATTTTGTATTAAAATACACTTTATTATCGATTGATTCCTGAATTCCTATAACAAATTGTAAACTCAATGCAGTTTTCTTTAAAGATTTCTACGCTTTCCAAATTTAGTTTAGTTTTAGTTTCTTAATCAACTTACGCAAGTTAATGGGTTATGAAACCTAAGATAAGTATTATTAGCTATTATTAGGTAATTAATTAAATCAGTTTCATGTAATAAAGTAATTAAGTGCTAAGTAATCGGGAACTTAATGGCAATTCAGGCTGTAATTAGAAGAGCCAGCAGTTAAATCTAATTATAAGTTCCAAGTGTAGAAGAGATTTTACCTCCTAAGTGTTGCATATACATATGTACATTTGGAACTCGGCTAGGTAATAATTCATGCAACTCTTTCCAGAATTACATCAGCAATTCCGCCCCGCTGCGCCGTCTCCCACATCTCGAGCTACACATGTTGGGTAAATTCACATCGAATCATGTCCAGGTCTACCACCAGTACTCGCGACCAGTGCCCGTAAAGAAACCCGTCAAGGTGAGTACTTGGGGATCTCGAGTCTTCGCTTGTTTTCGTTTTCGTTTCCTCGTCCTGTTTCCCTAAGCAAACACAATTAGCATGCATTAACAGAAAACCCTTTCATTGGCATTCCTTGGAGAGCTTCATAATTGGGTGCAAGGTGAATGGGAAAAATTCCGTTGTATTTATTTTGTTTTTTGAATTTTGTGTGTCCTGGCTTTCGTTTTCCATTTGTTTGTGCCGTTTTGTTTACATTTTGCCGACGCACAAAGGCGGCCTTTAATACGGGGAGAGCTTGTGTATTTTTTAGAGGGGTGGTAGCTTTATAGGGGATATACTCGTATCCTGCATGACACGTGACAAATCCCCTTCGGAGAATCGACGCACAGCACAAATATCCTTCTGCATGCCTGCACGCCAAAGACAAAGCGAGACTAGCGAAACCATAAATAATTGATATTTCATAATTGTTTTTCTTAACCCTGCAGGCCAAGAAGCCTCACTCGCAGGCGGAAATCAATTGAAGCGGATACCACCACCCGTCGTCCACCGTCCAACGTATAAAGTCCACCGTCCACCGTCCAATTTCCACATCCACCAAACAATCCTCCCACTCCTGTTTCAGTTGTTTATGTGTGCGTGTCTGTGCGTCCGCTGTGGACGATGTTGAAACAGAAGCGTTTGGCCAAGCAGAAACCCAAAGCGAAACCGGTAAGCAAAATCGAACCCCCCGAGATCGCCAAATATCTTCTTCTCCCCCCTCTTAACGCCTATCTCTTTAGGTGCTTTTAATTTGATCTATATAATATATATACTTCATCCACCCAACCCAATCTGTTACTCTGCTCTGTGCTCTATAATTGCTATTTGACTGACTGCCAAACTGCTTTGTTGTGAAAAGCTGAACTATCTCGCTCTATAAATTACCTCTCTTGAGTTTTCCCCCCTTTCAATGGCCTTGTTGGAAACTGTCTAGTGTAGTTTGTAGCCAAACTATTGCCAGTTCTTGTTCGTAGTTTTCTTTTTCAACTATATCGTAGTAATTAGTTGGCCCAACTTTTTGGCCATTTAAAGTATTATTGGATATCTATTTTAAGTAGCTTGCTT